ATTGTTCTCACTCTCTATGCAGGATTTGAGTAGGAGGGGTGAGGATCAGTAGTACATGAATCACTTGCTTTCCCTAAGCCAAAGAATTATTTTAAATCTAACTTCAGTTTAGGTTTTAATTAATTCCATAACTAGCAAACCGAAATGATTGCATTAATTGATACACAGGTACTAATACATTTATTTAGGTTTTCATAATCTCCCCTAATTATCATTTAAATTTTTTAAAAATTCTAATTCTGTTATAAAGCAAAACTGACTTTAAAGAACAAACCAGGATTCAAGCCATATTTTAAAACTGCTCCCCCAGTTTTATTCAGTTTGATGTCTTTTTTTAAAAAGAAATTCTCAAGCTCATAATTTCAAACTTCTTGCACATGGCTGTCCCAATAAATTATTATTACCAATGAAACAGACTTTAAAGAAGTTGTGTTTTACAATGCAGAGAGTGGAGGATGCTTTTTATACATTGGTGAGAGAGATCCGACAATACAGATTGAAAAAAATCAGCAAAGAAGAAAAGACTCCTGGCTGTGTGAAAATTAAAAAATGCATTGTAATGTAATCTGGTAAGTTCAGCATATTAATTTTGGCAGAAAGCTAATGTCTTTCAAAGGTAACAAAGTAGCAACCACTTTAGAACTACCTAGTTGTGGGATTTTAATTTGAGGTATTAAACAATAAGAAACCCCAGAGGGAAGAGGGTTGTGGGGGTGAAAAAGGTGAAGGGCAATGAGGTTAAAAAATTTTTTTTTAGTTTCCAGGAAGAATTTTAAGTAAAGAAAATATGTCTTTCCTTAAAAAAAAAGAAACCTAGAGTTTATTTCCATAATTAGTACGTTTTTATTTTTTATCTAATGGTTATTAATTATAATTGAGGCAGTTTTGATGGCTATAGACTACTACTCTGCATTTATCATAGGGTCTAGAGAGAAAATTTGAAAAGCTGCACAGAGTAGTAACTTTAAATGGGCCAGAAGGTGGGAAAGGGCCATTCTTACAATATATTTTTTTCTTTTGGACATTCTACAAGCAAATACTGATTCTGTCTGTGTTCTCCGACTCAGTGGCATCAACATCACTTTTTACCTAAGTGAGAAACCTGGGAGTCTTGGGATGACTCCTCCATCCTTCTTTTTCCACCCGCATTTGGAGGCAACCAATTCCTGTGATGTTACATTCTAACTTTTACCCCATTATTAGTTTAGGCCCTTTTCATTTCTTGCTGGGACTATTATAACCTGTCATTTGGTTTACCTGTTGAAGCCTTTCCTGGTGCAACCAGAGAGATAAATACTTAAAAGAAATATTCTCTTATCTTTAAATCAAGTCACTGACTATGGAATAAAATCTCATTTCGTAACATGTTATATATGGCTCTTAATATCTACCTTACCCCTCCCTCCAGCCTTTGGCCTTATCTCTAAAAACTCCTTGCCTGAAATTTTTTTGTCCTTATGTCTGAACACCATGTTTTTTCTTACCTTCTCCTGTGTCTTGGCTGTTGCTTTTGTTTGGAATGCCAATATTCTTATCCCTTAGTTTTACGCTAACACTCATGATTCTCTAATCTCCTAGTCTCTAAGAACCTTTCTTTAAACCCTTAGACTGAGTATAATGCCCTTCCTGTGTATGCCCCAGTAAAATGTTCTTAACTGTTATACCGTTACCTTTTACATTGAAATAGTCTCCTATATGTTTGATTCCTGTACAGTAGTAGAATTTTAGAGAGCCAGAATCATATATTTTTAATGAGGTTCCTGGCACATAGTAGCTTCCTGGTTGGATTTGTTGACTGGAGTTTCTCAGTTTCCTTTCTAAACCAACCCATATTAAATTTGGTCTTGCTCAGAAAATATTTCACCCAATAGATGACAAAGTTCATGCCAAAGCTTAAGATTTTAATGTATATTGTTTGTAATATAAAATGTTCTATGAGAATATTAAATAAAATTATAAGATATCATTTATTGTGCTGATTAAACTAAAGGTTATTTTTTTTTAATTGTGTGTTCACCACTCAAAGTCAGATATCCTTTCGTCACCATATGTTTGACCCCCCTTTACCCTTTTCCACCTCTCTCCACCCCCTTTTTTCTGATAACCACCATACTATTGTCTGTGTTTGTGAGGTTCTTTCTGCCTTGTTCATTTGTTGCTTTCAGTTTTATATCCCACAAGTGAGTGAAATCATACGGTTCTTGACTTTTTCCATCTGACTTCGCTTAGTGTGATATTTTCAAGATCCATATGTGTTGTCACAAATCGGCAGTATTTCATCTTGGTATTCTTTATTATATAAATTTAAGGTCTGAAATAATTAATGTATCTCCCAAAAGTAAAATATACATCTGAATAGTAGACACAGTCCCAAAGGATATTATGTGGTCAAACACTAATCTATAGGACTTAGAAGAAGAAACAAAGCATGACTGGCATTAATTTTTATTGACATTTATAAATTCTTAATATTTTTTGAGTGTCATTGTGTAAAGTAATATCTTAATGTAGAAGTAATATCTTAATGTGATAGAATTTAACATTGCAAAGCAATTTGAAAAGTTAAACTTGTTAAATTACAGTAGCCATACCAGATTTAAGGGATTAAATTTAATTTTTAAAATAAACTTTATGCTCTAATTTTTATTTAAAACAGAGGGGGAAGTATGTACTTTTCTAAAATTTCTAATTTGTGCAGACGATATTTTTAGTGACTATGTAGTGTTTTAATGTCAAATAATTGTTGGGCATGATGAATGAATCCTTATTTTTTCAGTGGACATGGATAGCATTTATTTATATAAAGAAAAAAGCATACTTGGTAATACTCAACATTTTAAATAAAAATATTTTTATAAAATTAATTTGACAATGATAAATAGATACAAGTTTTTCTTAGTCCTAAAATGGATGCATTTAAACACAATAATTACTGGAATACTACTTTTTTCTATTATATGTGTATATGAGTCACTAGTTCCCATATAAAAAAAGGAATTTACTGGCCTGTTTTGATTGTAACATTTCTATAGTCATTGAAATTGTTTAAGTAAGATTGCATAGAAAGCAAAGTTCAGTGCAACATGAATCTAAAGTATCAGAATCTTGGAAGAAGGCAGTGTTAATAAATTCAGTTTTCATTGTCTCCTAAATACTTGTGTGTTGTTTTTGCCTTAAAATTTGTCTTCTTTATACCCATCATCTGGTTTTTCATTTTATCTGCTTCACCATTTTAATACCAGTGACATTTTTTTTCTTAGAAAAGTTGAAATGAAATAGACTACATAAGGATGTGTGATCAAAGGGAATTTGTGAGGGCAAGGGAGTTGAATTAGATCCTCTTTTAAGTATTCCATCCCATTCTAAGGGTTTAGGGTTATAAATTAGTCAAGGGTTGGTTAGCTGTAAAATAATTATTGTTTATTATATCACTGGAAGTTTTTTGCTCTTTGTTAAGGTTACCATGAGAGTTTCTCTATATTAAGCCTTGACTATATTGCTGATAAGTTGTCTTATCACTTTCCTCCTCCTTTGGGTGAAACAAAACCATATGCTGTATCAGTAATGTTAACAGAGTGGAAAGCATCAGTGAGTACAGTTTGGGGCTTTATTGGGGACTTTTATTTACTAGTATCGAAATCCATAATGCTGGTTTTTATCCTACTACTATTTCTTTAAATGTGAGCAAGCCTCTCATTCCCACTCTGCGTTCATTTCTTTAAAAATATTGGTAATACTTTTCTGAATTTTAGATCTGTTGTGAAAAATTAGATAAATGTAACTTGAATGAAAATGCCCTGTTAATTTTGCTATTACTTTGAAATATTACTTGTAGAAGATTTTAGTAATTCAGTAAAGGAGAAATCATGTCACTTTTAAATTTCAAATTATTTTCAAGATAACGAATGCGTTTATATGAATATTCAACAGAAGTGGTTAAAATGAGTAAAAAACCCAATTTTCTTTGTTCTTAAACTGACTTGATATATATTACAACTTTGTTGGGTATTTGTTCCTAAGACTCCCTCTAGTGTCTAGGTTTGAAAGCATCATTATATTAACAGGCTTTTTAAACAGTTACTACTCAGTTGAACAGAGTTTAAAATACGTAGAGGCTTATATTTTTTCTTTAAGTTTTTATTTTGCTTTTACATTTAATTTGCTCTTTAATGGGGACATGACAAGAATTGACTTATGTATAGAGTTTTTATAATTTTAGTATTGCAGGGTTAAAACCTACTGTCCTGCTACCGTATTCAGAGTGCTGTTGGGGTTGTTGGAAAAGTCACGACGCATTTTTGCAACGAAAAACAGAAAAAATACGTCATGTCTTTTCTGATAACCCAATACTTTTCACATTATGAATTACTAGGTTAAAAATTATTCTAACTTATAATCACTTTCAACCATTACTGATTTAGATACCTTGCTTTGATCACAAATAGATGTAGGCCAAAATGACCAAATGCAAATTTCTTTGAAGATACAGCATTTGGCTTTATATGGTAAATTTTTAATTTTAATTAGATTTTAAAAAGTATTGAATCAGAGCTCAAATATCATTACTGTGAATATTTATGAAAATAGTATATACTTGCATGGCTTATATATAATGTCTAGAAACTCAGGGTTAATTAAGGGTAAATATTCACACACACATTCATTTGGATTTTGGTGACTGAGGTGTGTCAATATGGAAAAATTAGTAGCAAATTAAGTTCTGGGAAAAAGTTATTTGTGAAGCTTATGTAAGACTCTGTGCCGTTGATTTTCATTGCCTTTTGTGAAAATCAGTATTCCCATTTATAATGTAGACAAAATATCCATGAAGAAGACATTAAAGAATCTCAAAAGTCTGATACGTATTCAGTTGCCTAAAGAGAAATGTAAAGTGTACTTATTCTTTTCAATATCAATGTTTCTATTAGTAATATGTCCTTTTTATTATCTCCACCTCAAACTATAATATATATTCACATTTTAATACTTATATATTTCAGGGTGTTGATGATGCCTTCTATACATTAGTTCGAGAAATTCGAAAACATAAAGAAAAGATGAGCAAAGATGGTAAAAAGAAGAAAAAGAAGTCAAAGACAAAGTGTATAATTATGTAAATACAATTTGTACTTTTTTCTTAAGGCATACTTAAGTAAAAGTGGTAATTTTTGTACATTACACTAAATTATTAGCATTTGTTTTAGCATTACCTAATTTTCTTTCTGCTCCATCCAAACTGTTAGCTTTTATCTTGAATGCTTATTTTAAAATGACAGTGGAAACTTTTCCCTCTAAGTGCCAGTATTCCCTGAGTTTTGGTTTTTGAACTACAATGCCTGTGAAAAAGAAACTGTATACCTGAGATTTCTGTCTTGGGGTTTTTGGTGCATGCAGTTTATTACTTCCTATTTTTCTTACCAGTTGTGAACTTTGGTGTGAAACAAATTAATGAAGTTTTGAATTATCCCTATTCTGTATTTTATCTAGTCACATACATAGATTAATTACTAATTGTAACTTCAGTTGAGATTTCATGATTGGTTTTACCGAAACCTTGAGGGAACACAAATTTCTGGGCTTCCTGTAGATTCATCTTGTAGGCAACATGTCCTCTAGTTTCAGTCATGCTTAATGAATGTAAAGTTACACTGTTCACAAAGGTTTTCTTCCTCTTTCCACCGCTATTTGTCATAGTCATGTTCCCCAAATATTATATTTTTTCTATAAAAATGGAAAAAGTGGAAAAAAATACAAGGCAATGAAAAATATTAAAAGGCCATTTACTTTCCACATTAGATAAATTCCTATAATACTCTGAATAGCTTTTCCTGCTAAGGCAGACCCAGTATGTAATGAGGATTATAGCAACAATTTAGGGGCTATATTTACATGCTACTAAATTTTTGTAATTATTGAAACAATTTTTAAATGTATAAAAATTCTCATAGGAATTAAATGTAGTCTCCCTGTGTCAGATTGCTTTTTCTTATCATAACTTTAAATCTTTTCTTGAAGTTCAATCTTTCAAAATAGTTTTAATTCTGGTAGTGATTTTAAAGATTATTTGGGCCAATTAGCTTAGTAGGTGTTGAAAAGACCAAGGTTGGAAGGCCAGGTCTTGTGTGAACTTTGAGCTTCATTGAGAATTTCACAGTCCGGACTGCATCCCTGAAGCCTCCCAGTGTTATCATGCATTGGTTGGTCAAACATGGGGACTAGGAGGGAGCTTGGCTAGCTCAGCAAGATACCTTCTCACTGTGTGGTGGTTCGGCTGACAGGTCGGGAACATCACTTAAAAAAAAATACAACAGAACTTTTTAAAAAAATTAATAAAGTGAAAAAGTTTTAAAGTCTCTAATATTTCATAAATACAAGTCTGGGCTATATTTAAGAATATCTGATGCTTAAAATAGATAAATTAACAAAATTATTCTTTCAGTGCATTTAAGATGTTATTTTAAAATAAGTGAGATGGTATGAAAGTATCAATGGACCAGGAGGAAGGTGACTTAGATTTTTTTATAACTCCAATTTGGGGCAAATCACTTACTATCCATTTCTTCATGTTAAAAGAAGTCATCTCAAGGCTGTATAGCTAGCATTACAACTATGTGATTTACATTCAGTTTACATAAAAATATACCTGTTTGTCAATCTCAGCACAAATCTGTAACTTTTTACCTGTGTTATCATCTTTCGTGCCAGTCTTAGGCAAAATTGTGCAAGAGGTGAAGTTTATTTTTGAATGCCCTTTTTCCTGTTTCAGGACTCCTCTCCCACATTAGTGTCATCTTGCCTGCCTACCTTCTCCATTCTCCATGACCTGATACTCTTTCTTTCAATACTTCTAATTCCCATAACCTCAAGATTTATTGCTGCTTTGGATATCTCCTGGAAGGCTTCCCACCAGGTCACATCAAATGCCCTACATCTTATTTCCTCAGGCCCTACATCATTTGACAGATACTATAATGGCATTTGGCCTAACAGGTAATTTTCAGGTGGTGGCTAGAGCAGTTTAATTTTGATCATCTCTTTGCTGCCTGGTCCATTACTGAGTACGTAGGAATTTTCATGCAGTGAATAGACAAAACCCTATCCAGGGGAAGAATTTAATAAAGGTAGTGCTGAAAGAATTCCTTAGATAATCTATAATTAGGACTAGCCCAGGTAATAGTGATACATTCCTTTTTTTTAATAACTAAAATCTTACAATTAAAAATATTTTAAATTTTAATTCATAAGGCTTACTTTTTAGCACAGTTATTCAACAAATATCTGAGTGCCTACTAAATGCCAGACACTACACAAGGCATTGGGGATATGGTTTAAGGGACATAATTTGTATCCTAAAGTAGCACTTATATTCTAGCGTGGTCTGTAATATCTTCATGAGGCATTTGGCACATGAATCAGAGAAAACATAATGCACATTTTAATTTTGTAAGGAAAGGATTTGGTCTCTTAAGATTTCTTCCAGTTCTGGAGTAATCATTTTGCTCTGATTCCACTGTAACTTTAATCAAGCTTCTTTATGTAAGTCACCTTCATTGTTTTAAAGGAGTAAACTTGAGTATATTTTTATTTGGCATAATTGTGTGATTCTATTGGAACAGTTATAGTACACTTTAAGTTGTATGTCAGATAATAATATTAAAATTCCCAAGTATGTAATACTCTAGTTGGTCCCTTTGTACAAGTAATTAAAGAAGACTTTTAAAATTAAATACTGAATTCTAAAATAGTTTTGTTTACCTGGGTATGAATAAACAGATGTCTGAACTAATTCACAGAAAACGAAACTTCTGTGTAAAAATCAATGATTTCTGAAATGCTATGCTTAACTATAGGTTCATTGACCATTTGGTAGGATGTTAAGACTTACTTAGTACCTCCTCTTGTTTTTACACAAGAGAAAGAAATGGCCATACTTCAAGAATTGCAGTCCATAACTGAGTGAGGGAATTTTTAGGACTCTGGAGTTTTTGATGTAGCTGGGCAGTTTTTTTTCAGGCATTGGTAATTATCCTTTATTACGTGAATTATGAATGATTTGACAAAAGGTTTGATTTTATAGATTTTCAAAGGGGAGAGATGATCCTAGAAATAACATAAATGTTATCTAATTAATACAGCCTTAAAGATAAAAGTCCTTGTTGAAGTTGGAAAAAATTGCTAACTTACATAGTCTTAGTCATTAACATGTTTGTGGAAGACTGTAGCAGAAATATGTAGTATAACTTGAGTGAACATTCCCAATTAGGAATTCTAGGCTCTATTTTAACTGAGTCACACTGCATAGGAATTTAGAACCTAACTTGTAGAGGTTATCAAAACCTTTGCCACCATTGCACAATTTTGTCCTAATATATAGAGAAATGTTAAGTTGCAGTTTGCACAAGTTCATCTCATTTGTATTCCAGTGATTTTTTTTTCTTCTAGCCATTTTTTTCTAGGTTTTTTTGTAGACAGTAAAAACTGTCATTTACATTTGTCAAAAAATAATCATTTCTTGATTACTAATGATTTAAAAAACCCATCAGTTAATGTAAAACTGAATTTATATTTAATAACTTCTGTTAATAATGGGTAGCATGAATATTGAACAGCATACAATTAGTAGCTGTAAATTCCTTTAGAAAAGGAAAATTATTTCCTAAGATACATTCACATCAGTTCTTAAAAATAGTCTTAACTAGATTAATACCTACTTTAGTTTAATAGTTTTAAGTGCCTGTTTGGGATGATGCTAGGTAATTTAGATGAGTTTAGGAAAAACAAAGTTATTACCTGCAGAAATGTCAATCACAGAGGGTCCCCCTTCCTATACAGCAAAATGGGTTATGTAATGTTTTATCCAAAAGTTTCCAGTTCCACTGTCTTGTGTTTTCATGTTGAAAATACTTTTGCATTTTTTCTTTGAGTGCCAATTTCTTACTAGTACTATTTCTTAATGTAACATGTTTACCTGGAATGTATTTTAACTATTTTTGTATAGTGTAAACTGAAACATGCACATTTTGTACATTGTGCTTTTTTTTTTTTTTTTGTGGGACATATGCAGTGTGATCCAGTTGTTTTCCATCATTTGGTTGCGCTGACCTAGGAATGTTGGTCATGTCAAACATTAAATTTAAAAATGACCACTCTTTTAATTAAAATTAACTTTTAAATGTTTATAGGAGTATGTGCTGTGAAGTGATCTGAAATTTGTAATATTTTTGTCATGAACTGTACTGCTCCTAATTATTGTAATGTAATAAAAATAGTTATGGTGACTATGATAGTGTGTATTTCTTGGTATAAATTTGGAACATTTGCCCCACAATTAATAGGGAATAGTATATAAGCCACAGACACTATCATATATTAGTAAATCTTTTTTGCAGCTTGTTAGAAATATTCTTTATTTATGAAAGGTGCTATGAACATTATGTAAAGGTTTAAGATTTTGCTTAAACCTAAGACCATCTTAGGTTTAAGTCCATTGCCATGTTAACACATTTAGAAGTAGGTGCAAAACAGATCTGCCTTTATGACAAAAGAATAGAATAACATTATTACTTTTATCAAAGAAGGTAATTGATACACAACAGGTGATTTGTTTTAAGGTTCACAGGGAGCCAACAGCAAAATAATGGAAGAACTGAGTAGGTGTGTATGTAATGCCAACCATTGGCAGGCCATCATGTGTCAGGGAGCCGCCTTCCTAGCAGCATTAACAAATTACACATAAAGAAGCACAACGTACTCCACTGGATGTTGCCAGCTCCATCATGTAACCCCTATGGGTTGTTCGCTCTTCACTACCAGTCTTATTTGCCCATGTACCATTAACTGTGAACCAGGGTTATTTCGAGATCAGAAATAATCTTACTCTGTATATATTATTATTTTTAGCACTTAAATCATGACCAGGTGCTATTTGTTTTGTAGTGAACCTGGCAATGTACCAAATGGGGTAAAAAATAAGGTACTCCTTCAAAAGTTAAAGGAATAAATGTGGAAGGAATTATTTTGCCTAGTTAAATGGGAATTAAGTGGCACTGTCAGTAAAATGGAGAAATGGGCTAAAAACTGGCAAAAACCTATTAAGTTAAAGTACACTGCCTTTTCATTTAGAACTGGTGCTCATTTACTTACAATTAGTAGTTGGCAACATTATGTAGCTAAATTGGTATTTTATTATAAAAATTGAACATAAAAGGTTGCTAATAAAGCCCTCAGTATGAATAGAAGCTGAAACTATTTTAGTTCAGTAAAGGCAGCCTAGGTATTTTTTATATGACGTGTATGTCTTGCCATTTTAAGTTGGAATTATTTTTATAATATTTGTTATAAACAGCTGGCACCGATTTTCAGTCAAACTAGCAATGATCAGTTAGTTTTGTTGGTATCTGAATAATAGCGTTGTTTCATAGCTCTGTATTTCCTAAGGAAATACAAAGCTTCTAGCTCTTTCATTACAAATTCGCCCCGTGCAATAAGTTCTTTGATCTTCTCTGGGTCCTTTACATCTTTGTTTTTAAGGAAAACATTCTTCAGACGCCTTTTAAAATAGTCTGCTCCTTTTGGATAGTCTCGTCCAAGGAACAGCAGCTTAAAAAAGAAAGATATATTTCTCAGCAATCCATGTCATCATAACATTTATAAAATTGGCAACGTAATTATTATACTTACATTTTTATAAAGATTCAATACTTCCCTTCTTAAAGAATTGGCCATTTTCACTTGTCATGGAAAATATCCCCTTTTATACATAGCATACCTAAAGAAATGGAAAATTTTTTGCAAAAAAAATTTTTTTTACACATTGGGAAAATGCTAACTTTTCATGTAATTAATACTTTGACCACTTGTGTTCCAGGCACTGGGCTATAGCTATGAACATGTCAGATAAGATACCTTTTCTCACAGAACTAACATTGCCTGAGGGACACATAATAAGCAAACAAGATAATTACGAATTGTGACAAGTCCTAGGAGGGAAGGGAATGAGAGAAAAAGGGTTGTGAGAGGTAGATATGTATGTGTACCTCCTTTTATACCAGAGTAGAATGAATCAGAACTAGATTTGAATCTCAGCTATATATATACAGGTAACAACCTTTCTGAGCCTCAAGTTTTCCTTATCAAACTATTCATCCTGCTCTCAAGGCAAAGCCAGATCTGTTAGGAGGACACTGAGAAGAGGCCTGATCAAATCATGAAGGGTGTCATCCTAAGAGACGCTCAAGAGTAGGAGAAACTGTGTGTGAGTCAAGCCAGGTTCCCAGTTAACGGTAGATGGGCAAATAAGATTGGTGGTGAAGAAGCCAAGTGAGCAACCCATAAAGGGTTAAGTCAAGAGCTGGCAACATCCAGTGGGGTAGATGATGCTTCTTTATGTGTAATTTGTTAATGCTGCTAGGGCAGCAGCTCCTAAAGACACCATGACAGCCTAAACAGAGAGAAAACAATGCCCGATACTTGTGATTGTGGGGATTAAGTCATAAAATTCCTAACACAAGCATTGAGTTCATGATAGGCCCAAAGTCATGTCATTTACAACCTCCCTTAAAATTCTGTAAGTCCCATTTTCCCAATGACCTAAGAAAACGGTTTTATACTTTTTTCATTAAATTCAATCTTGCTGCAAAGTTGCTAGTACTACAACAGTACTAATAACATTTTTTTCCTGAACTATTTGAGAAGCTAACATGCTGTCCCATCAGCCTGAATACTTTGCAGAGATGTCCAACAGAAATATGAGACACCTATGTATTTTTACATTTTCTAGTACATATTAAGTAAAACAATTATTTTAATATATTTTTATATTCAAAATACTATTTCAAGGTGTCGTGCTAGCTACCTTTTAAGTGCTTATAGGTACCAATGAGTGAGTTGCTACCACACTGGACGGCACAGCTTTAGAGTGTCTTTACTATGAACAAGGGCTTTTTCCTACAGAAGAATACAACCATCATCAGAATCAGGACGTCACACGGCTACGTTACTCCTGTGGAATTCACAGCCCCTTCACATTTTAGCAGTTGTCCTAAAGATGCCCTTCATAGCAAAAGGAGCCAATCCAAGATTACATATGGCCCAATTACTCTGTAGACGTATCTCATTTTGATATTAACTCATGACTAGATGCAGGTTGTGGAGTTTGGGCAAACATACTACAGACATGACGGTCTCTTCGTTTCATTGCATCCTATCGGGCGGACACAATGCCAATTTGTTCCACTGTGGTTGGTGTTAATTTAGGTCCCAAAATTAGAGAATTCAGTTAGGCTTTGGAAGGCACTCAATTTCTTTAGATTTCTGTTGATCTAAGTTGCCAGTGTTTGTTCATTTTGCGGGGGAACTGAAATTCTGAAGGTGGTGGTGCTACTGGTTGTTATAATTTGTGACCTTGGGCAAATCACAGTGAGTCTTGCTGGGCCTCAGCGACCTTCATGTGTAAGAAATACTTTAGCCAGGAATTGCTGCAAATCATTTCCAGTTCTCATTTACAGTGGCTCTAAGGAAGAAACGGAACATACCTTGCACAGGTAGTACACAAAGCCATGGGCGGGGAGAAGAATCCGAAGGTCATGAACTTCAAAATAACCAACCCACTTGGAGCCGATTTATTTACCTCTTTATCTAAATTGCCAATTGAGCCCCGTCACCCCGCAGGCTTAAGCTGGGGTGACCCAGGCATCCGACTTGGGTGTCAGTCACTTGACCTAATCGCCTAGCCGGCGACCCCCGTCCTGCTGGACAACCTCACAGAAAGGCTCGCCCAACACACTCCAGGGAAACGGGGAGCGAGACCGCCAACGTCAGAAGACGCTCAGACACCCTTTCCCACACCCGGTGGGCCTTTCGCAGGGCACACTTCACCGCCTCCAGACCCCAGGATCCGGAAAGCACAACAGAACACCCCCGCAGCTGCACTCACGCACTTTTCGGCACGCCACAGGCGTCAAAGATTCAGACGGCCTCCACTACTCCGTCCGTCAACCACGAAGCAGGGTGAGGGTTGGAAGGGGGTAACCTGTCAGGAGAAGGGGCGGGGCACTGTCCGGAAGAACCCAGCACGACTGCGCAGACCCAGACGGGAAGCTCCGCACTGTTGCCCTGGGGCGTGAGTGGGCGGGGCTTGTCGTCCTGACAACCCGGGAGCGTCTGTCCCCACAATTTAGCTCCGACTTTGCAGACTACTGAAGTCGTGCTCCCTCAGCATGGTGAGCAGGGAAAATGGGAGAACCAGGTGAAGCGGCGAGCATTGATTCCCCTTCACCGGTGTTTCATGATGTAATAAGAGCCTGTTGTATTTAGAGGGGAGCGGGTGGGTTTAGGAAAGAACCCATACCCTTGGATTCGGCCTTCACCTAACCTGTGGCCTTCCCGTCCAGGAGCAGGCGGACAGAAGGGAGTCTTGCGGTCAGTGGTGTCCTAATCTTGCAGTTGCTAGGTTTAAAAGTTGGCCCTAAGCTAGTAACTTCCAATTACGATAGACGTTCCCATTAAGTTGCTTTTTTATTGCAACTTGGCAGAAATGTATTTTTATATCTCTTCAGCAGTTCATTAAAAGCTTTGCAATTTACATTGCTTTGAAAAGCTACTTTATGTTATCTTTTGTGGATACATTGGCCTTTGATTCAAGGTACACAGCCTGCCCTGAATTTATTAAGTATGATAAAGCTCCTCGTTTTGTTTTTCTGCTCTCCTCGGATGTTTTCTCCAAGAACACAGGCCAACATGTAGCTATGAGATCATCTCTTTTCCCATTTTTTAAAAAATGTGACTGCCATCTTTTTCTGTGATTAAAGTCAGGAATTGGAAGTGCAATTAGTTAATTATTTAATTCATTAATTACGGGAAAATATAAAGTTCGCTCTGTGCTTGATACTAGGCTTCAAGTCAAGGATGCAAACATGAGTATTACAACCTTTTCCTGCTGTTCGAGACAGACTAAACAAATTAATTACAATACAGTTTTATAACTAACACTTGAAGCTCTACAGTGAGTAAAACGAAGTTGAAAATGATGAAATTGAGGAATGGGGGCAGGGAACAGATGGGAGGCAGGGAAAGGATGTGGGAAGGGAGGAACAGTGCTTTTAAGGTGTGTTTTAAACTATAAATATGAGTTTACTAGAAGTTGTGGGAAGAAATAGGTGGTAGAGAACATTCATCTCAGGGAGAACGGAAAGTTAATAGGCTTTAAGCCGACCTGAAACTTGATAAATTGTGGGAACAATAAGCACCTATTTATTATTTTCCAATGGGACATAAGTTTCTTTTTCTTAGGTCCCTGTATCAGTGTTTCTCAAAATGTTCTGGGAACATTTGCTTCTAACACACCTGGAATACTTGTTAAAATGCAGATTCCAGAAACAGACTCGACTGCACATATATATTGTATTAGTTTCATAGGGCTGCCAAGTAACAAAGTACTACAAACTAAGTGGCTTAAATAATAGAAACTTATTGTTTCACAGTTCTGGAGGCTAGAAGTCCAAGATCAAGGTGTTGCCAGGGTTATGCTCCCTCTGCAGGTGCTAGGGAGGGGTCTGTTCAGACCTGTCTCTTGGCTTCTGGTAGTTCTTAGCCTGGTTTGTGGCAACATAACTCCAATCTTCACATAGCATTGTCCCTGTGTGCATGTCTGTCTCAATTTCCCTTTTTTATAAGGATACCAGTCATGTTGGATTAAAGGCCAACCACATTCCAGTATGATTTCATTTTAACTAATTTCATCAACAACAACTCTAATTCCAAGTAAGGTAGAATGCTGAGGTATTAAGGGATAGGACTTTAACAGATGAATTTTGAGGGGACACAGTTCAACCCCTAACATCTACTGAATCACAATTGGAAGAGAGATATGAATGTGTATAGTTTTAGCTCAGATATATGTGTTTTTTAAACAAGCATCCCAGGTGATTGTTATGTCTTCTGAACTTTGAGCACTACTAAACTACCTGATGCTCTTATGATTTGCAGGGAGGTGATATGTACTTATCCCAAACATGCTTTACATTAAAAGCCCTAGTGAGAGATGACAGTTTGACCATCTTTAAAATATGGCTCCTTGAGAATAGGGGCCAAGCTATTTACATACTCAGCTGTATAGTACTTACTTCAAGATAGAAGTATAACTATTAATTGATAGTACATATGGTAATAAAAGTAGAACCTATTTGTAAGAATTTTGAGAGTAGTCTTTTCTATTCCTCTCTATATCATCTCCAGCATCTTAGAGCACCTTGTGTGTAAATCATTAATAAATATCTGCTGAATGAATTAATAAACTATATGAACTTTTTAAGAAGGTATAATCTGCTGTTGGTCAATTTTAACAGTGATATCATATGGCTTGAACAAGTAATTTCTCCTATGTAAGTCTTTAAATGTGGAACCTGTATAATCGTATAGTCACACGATTTCCTACAACTTCCATACCAGAACTCTAATGGACACATGGTCAGATCAGAAAATGATAAGTAGTGTAACTGAAAAATACTTGCAATTGTAAATATTTATTGAAATACTGTGCTTTCCAAAATAATTTCCACACATTACTAAACAGAATTATCATAGCTTTAAGTAACTGGCTCTTTCTTTATAAAATAAGACATCTAATTTTACAGAAAGATTATTTTTTATGAGATCATTCCCACACTTTGAAACTTGACATTAGTACCAGTACTTAGTCATGACATTGTTCTTTGGAACCCTTTAAACTAGTGCCTTTCTGACTGGCACCCTGTTGACTGGGCATCTCATTACACAGGGATCATTGAGCGATTGTCATAAGAAAGAGTGTAAAATTTACTTAATAAAAGATGCTTCAGTGGGTGAACTATTTTATATTAGCTTTCCCTAGAAACGTTTCTAGTTTTGTCTGAATTATTTTTTTAAAGACTTGAAGATAATTTTAGATTTACAGAAAATTTGCAAAGATGGAATAGACTTCCCTTATACTCTTTACCTAGCTTCTCCTAAATTTAACATCTTAGATAGTGAGGGTACTTTTGTTAAAATATATATCTGAATTTTTTTTTAAAATGATCAATTCTTTTGTTTTTCCAAATTTTAGGGTCCCAAACCAAAAAAGGTAGGTAGAAACTATTTTCTCAACATAGTTTTATAAGCACTGACATAGTACAAGTAGAATTTTTAAACATTTTTCTAGTTAGTTTTATTATAGTTTATAGAGTTTACTAAGATTATTTGTAGACATTAATGCTATTTAAATCATGGAATAATCCTCTACAATAACAGAACATATTTCAAATTTGACATAAAAAGATATTTCTAGTTTCCCAAATAATTTGAAGAATCGCCTTTCGTTTTTACTTGTGTCTTCAAGGCTTTTTATTACTGGTGTGCTAGCAAATGTTAGATTTAGATTAGGTATCCCTTTTCTTCATTCTGGATAAACACGTAATTTAATTACCAAACTTGCTGTGACTTAAAAGTAGATCCTAAGTTATTATGTGTTTAAATGGGTTGCATGGTAACACACGCTTGATTTTTTTTGTACTTGGTAGTAATTTGAGTTTAATAAGGGCTGTCTAGAATGACTTTTTTCTCCTCTTAGTAGATTTATACTTTAAAGTAGAGATTATAATCTAAATCAGATTTAGCTCCTAGACATATTTTATTTAACCTAAAAAGTTTTTTTTTAATCAGTTGCCAAATGATTTTTACACTAAAAATGTGGTTTCCATCTATTCTTGAAAAATTGGAAACCTGATAACGTTGGGCCTATAGTCCGGTAAAGCAGCTGTCAGGTGGTTGCAGCCATCCCTTTTAGAAATGCATAAACTCTTCAGTTTGCCATAGTCCTGACCACGACCAAACTCCTTATTTCATCTACCTGCCTGACCTCAATAAGGATAGGTTTGGAATGCCAGCTTTCAGGCATTTCTCAAAGGTGGCTTCTGTATAAGTTTTCCTACCAGTCTATCTTGTAGAATCAATTATACTGTGTTTTCATAGCACAAGCATTTGTACATACCTCCCTGTACATACAACCCTATATAATTTTATTAGAATAATTTATAATTCTGAGCTGGTCAAGGTCAGGAGCATGTCACTACTTATTGATTGATTCAACTGATTAATAATTGACACACATTATCCTATTAGTTTCAGGTGTGCATCATAGTGATTTGATAATTTATATACATTACAAAATGATCCCCGTGATAAGTCTAGTTCCCATCTGTCACCATACAATGTATTTATAATATTATTGACTATATTCCTTATGCTGTACATTACATCCCCATGACTTATTTATTTTATAACTAGAATGTTGTATCTCTGGATCCCCTTCACCTGTCTCGCCTGCCCCCCAACCCCTCTCTGCTCTGGTAACCACCAGTTTCCTGTGTCTATAAGTCTGTTTCTGTTTTGTTTCATTGTTTCGTTTTTTAGATTCCACATATAAGTAGAATCATATGGCATTTGTCTTTTTCTGTCTGGCTTATTTCACTTAGCAGAATACCCTCTAGGTCCATCCATGTTGCCACTCATATTTGCTTTTAATGTCCATAGCATTTGCACAATGCCTCACACATAGTAGAAATTCAATCAAAATTTGTTGAAGATGTAAAACCACATTTACTTTACCATCACTTAAAAACTAGGGCCCTTGATTATTTAGATGAAATGTTTATTTAAATATATATTCAATTAAATGCTTCTTTAAGAAACACTGTTGAGTGCCTTTTATGTATGCTTCTCTTAGTCCTTTGAACCCACTACCAACCTGATACTGTTTTAGGGGCTTTGGATATAAATTTGAACACAATTTATGGAGGCTCTAGACACATTCTTATGGGGGAAGTATTCTGAGGATCTACAGTCATTTGCATTTGGGTTACAGTAGTTTATTGGTTTGTGTGGATATTCATTTTCGGCTTTAGATTGTGAAATCTTAGAGACATAGCTTTGAATCTGAAAACTCATTGTTTCCAAATGACTTTGGTGCTTAATTGTGTATGCATGTATGCTAAATAATTACTTTTGGATAATTTTGCTCATACTGTTGTTTCCTTAGAGAACAGTGAGATTCGTCTTATGAAATTTGAAACAAAACTTAAGAATTCACTCACTTTTAATTACTCCATTCCTAAACATTATGGTTTGGGGTTGAGGTGAGTCTGTAAAGGGAATTTACAGTATATATATAGTTAGGAAAACATGGAAAGATATATTTTATTTTTTTTGACTTAAAGTTTTTTTAAAGGGAAAAAGTAATAAATGCACATGGTACAAAATTAAAATAGCATAAAAATAGGACATTTCCTTTGACCTAAGACTACAGGAACCACTGCATATTTTTTCATAAATTTTCTAAGCATTTAAGAAGACACACACACACACACACACACACACACACACACATCCCTTTTCTCCCCACATATGGGAGCTGTGGGGCCCAGGTGGTAGGGCCTCTAAGTTAGGAAATGTTTGCAGGCTTTGGAGACCGGCCTGCCCCACCCCCTTGAGTGGGACTGCAGAAGAAAAACAACTTGATATAAGTTTCTTGTCAATTACTTGTTGATGTAAATTCCTTTCCTAGCATGTGTGCTGGCACCATGCAGCTGTTGTTTGCATGAGGGTATAAAACCCCACTTCCATTCTGGATCTCTCTCTCTGGCCCCGGCCTCGGATGAATAAAGAGCTGTTGCTGCGTTTATGGCACACAGTCTGCCTCTGCCTTCTTTCAGCTGGGCATCTCACCACCAAGCCAGTCCCTGATTGACACCCTCGGACCCGACAGGAGCGTTTTACACTTTCTATTTTCCACTTAAAATGTATTTTAGGGCACTCATTTCTTCCCATTTTATCATTGCTGAAACTGAGATGTGTCTTATGGTCAACAGTGTCTTACAATCATTATAGTCCTGGATTGACAGCCGTTCCTTCTAGAAAGGATGTTTGCTTCTGTCAATCACATGGTCTTACTACTAACCTGATACTACTTTAAAGCTTCTGCTTGGGAATTTTTGAACCACACTAATGATATGAGTCAGACTGCATGTCTACATGAACTGGCTTGTGGTTTAAATTTTCAGGGATTTTTTTTTTCTTCTATTTATTTTCAGTATTAAGATATGCAGGTTTCCCTGCTGTATCTTTTATTGTTGTGAGTTCATTTGTCTTTATCTGTTTTCAGCTTTATGCACATATCTCCTGTTAGACTTTCATCTTGAGTATTTCCTTCTTTGGTAGTAATAATTTAAAGGTACATCTTATATCTGAGAGCATCATAGAGTCAATGGAATAAGTATGTCATTCTGTTTTGGCACATTGAGATTTTTTTGTCACTTCTTTTCCCAGCTGCATCATATTCCATTAAAAATATATACTGTGATTTTTGTCCTTATTTTTTGCTGTCAGAAACAAGGTTGGAATGAAGTTCCTCGTTTATAAGACCTTTCAAACACATGGGAGAATACTTATTTCATTGATTTAGCTGTGTTCTAGGCATTAAGAGAATGACAGCGAGACAGTCTCTGCTCTCATGAAGCTTACATTCTTTTTTCCCAGCTTTTTTGAAATATAGTTGACATATAATATTGTGTAAGTTTGAGATATACAAAGTGATTATATGATATACATAGGTTTTATGAAATGATTGCCAAAATAAGGCTAGTTAACACATCCATCACCTCACATAATTACCATTGTGTGTGTGTGTGTGTGTGTGTGTGTGTGTGTGCGCGCGCGCGCGCGCGTGCGTTGAGAACATTAAGATCTACTGTCTTAGCAACTTTTAAGTATACAGTACAATATTGTTAACTGTAGTCACCATTGCTGTACATTAGATCCCTAGAACTTAATTCATCTCATAACTGAAATTTATACCCTTCGTCCAACATCCGTCCATTTCCTCCATCCCCCAGCCCCTGGCAATCACCAGTTTACTCTCTGTTCCTATGAGTTCAGATTCTTTTTAGATTCTACATATAAGTGAGATCATAAAGTATTTGTCTTTCTCTGACATTTCACTTGACATAATGCCCTCAAGGTTCATCTGTGGTGTTGCAAACAGCAAAATTTTCTTCTTTTTTATGGCTAAATAATACTCTATTGTGTATTTTTTTTTATTTTATCCATTCATCTGTTGATGGATACTTAGGCTGTCTTGGCTATTGTGAATAATACTTAGGCTGTCTTGGCTATTGTGAATAATGTTGCAATGCACACAGCAGTGCAGGTATCTTTTCAAGATAGTTATTTCATTTTGTGAAGTTTACATTCTATCTGGGGAGGGGAGGGCAGAAAATAATATAATTTCAAAGAGCTTTGAATATGCAGACAACTAAGAAAGGGGTCAGTGAGAAATGTGCAGTAGGGGATAGTGGTGTTGCGATTTCATATAGTGGTGACTAAGGAAGTAAAATTTGAGAAAAGACCTGGATGAAGCAAGGAAGTAAGTCAATAATTGCCTAGGGGAAGACCATTCTAGGCAGAAAAACAATGATTGCAAAGTCTGATAGTTGGGAGTGACCTTGTTAGGAATTACCAGTGTGGTTAGACTAGAGTGAGGGAGGTAGAAAGTGAAAGATAAAACTTGGGGGTGGGGGAGGTAAGCAGGAGGCAGTTTACGACCAAGTAGGCCAAGGTGAATTGTTTGGGTTTTATTCTGAGTTTCATGGGCTGCCTGGGAAAGTTGTAAGCAGAAGAGTGATGTAATATGATTTACATTTTTAAAGGGTCAGTGGAAAATCCACTCTAGGGAAGCAAGAATAGGAGTAGGAGGACCAGTTAGAAAGCTATTGCAGCAGTTGAGGTCAAAGTCTTCACACTGAAATAACCTACTTCTAGAAGGAAAGCGTGCTCTCAGAAGTACACAATGATTTTCTAAGGGTACAAGTACACAGAGAGTTTTATGGAAATTAATTTTCAGATCATCAACTTCCATATTTAGCATTTCCTGGGAAAAATATCCACCCTTTAAGTTCTGCCTTTTGCCATTGCATTCTACCATTTCACAATTAATTACCCTTTACAAAACCAAGGCATATCTTCCACCCATTCTAAATCGTACTGTGGTTTATTGCCCTCAGGCTTGGACTATGACACTAAGGGACAATT